TGGCCAACCGTCCAGTCAGATTTACAACTCTTCTTTTGCTCCTACAACACTTAATTCTGTCTGCTTTTGGCCAGCCTCACTTCCTACAACACTAAACTCCATCCTCTTTCAGCAGTTTGCCTCCCCAGTAATCCCAGTGAGGGCAGTTCATGAGACTAGCCTTTACCAAGGACTTTACTCACCTCATCTGATTGTTTTAATTTTGTGATATGGATGGAGCTGAAAGCAGAGTGGCTGTATTAGTAAGTATGGACTCACACTTGAAGCCAACCAGAGATTTGTCCTTGGAGTAAGGCACTTAATGGAGTGCCTTTGTATCTACCCTAGGATACTGCACACCGTTGACACTTAATAAAGGTTTGGTTTGGCTTGATTTATAATGACTACGATGATAATCCATTTCTTTTCCTCCACTTGGAGGACCAATTTCTTGTAGTGAGGTATCTGGAGTCCCCCAACATACACTCTTTTCTTATCTATGTGAAAACAGGTTCTCTGTCTGTCTGTCTGTCTGTCTGTCTGTTGTTCCTTTAAAGGAACATCTGAAGGCAAAGCAGAATGACTATATAGTTGGATGCAGTACTACTCATCAATGGGGTATGAACCTTAGCAATCGTTTCTAATTACTGGAAGCCTGAAGATTAAAAACAACAGGAAATAACATTCTAAGGGGATTATTCACAGCAACCTCTTGTTTTCAAGTTTATTGAGAGCACCAGAAACTCTCTGCTTCACTCATTCATTCATTCAGTATGTGTTGTGCTAACCACTGTTGCAAATACTGCTCTATACCCTCTATTATACTGTCTATCAAAAGGTAGAAAAGATTAACTAAGTCCTGCTTCATGGGGAGTATATTCTAGACAGTGCACAGGAAAGGAAGGTAGGGTTATGAATTAGAGAAGACTGAGGGAGTGTCAGCAGCTATTTTAGATCACTAAGGGCCTCATTGCTGTGGTATTATCCTAACCAAAGCTTGAATGCTGAGTACTCATCGATTTTATGGGTGATAAAGACAAATCTTTAACTTTGTTAATGGTTACTTTTCTTTGAGTGTATGTAAAGTGTACTATTTATTCCTTCTCTGGCTTAGAATACATAACAAAAACTTGGGATAAAGAAAATGGGTGGATTTTCAGGTCTTTCTGATTAGTTATTTATTGATTTGTTATTATGTTTTAAAACTAAGTAAAAGCCTAAGACACGAGGCCTTACAATGCCTCTTTTCATGTGAGCACAAATACTATGGAAAAAGAGGTTATTGCGTATAGAAAATGAAACTTACACTCTGAAGTCAGATTTGGTTTGAAATACGAATTCTGGATCTATAGATTTACTTTCTGTATGGTAAGTCACTTAATCATGCCTGATTCTCAATTTTCATTTCTAGCGAGGCAAGAAGATCCATGAAATCTTTTATATTTGGTTTGGTTAACATCAAAACCAAACCTGGTGCACGGTAGGTACTCAATTGTAACTAGAATGTTTTTACCCTATCTGAGAATGCTTCACAGAGACCCAGCCAGTGGAGACGCCTGTTGGTTTCCTTCCTATTTATTTGCATTATCAGTTTCCCAGCAATTTTTCATTTGCACAGATAAACAAGACTTGATGGTATGTGCATCTCTGCTGGATAGTATTTCATACGACTCACTTCATCAGTGTGTGATTAGCCTCCAAGCTTCGAATCTAACCCAGTTTTGAGATAACTGGGAAATGAAACTAAGTGGAAGGAACAAATGCAGCATTGTAAGAGAAGCAAAAGTCAGCCTGAGGTTGTCTGATGTTTTTAAACTAACATCATCTTTAATCTCCTCTGCCCTTCTTCCCAGATAATAGGAGCTCTGCACCAAAAGTGCTGAGATAAACTAATGGGGAACAGGATACTACAAAAGGCCTTTGAAAGGGCCCATGTCATTTACTGAGGGTCTGGTTTGTTTTACTTTGCGAAGTCTTCCTGTTGCTCAAGGAATTGTGTCTCTTCTGACCACACTGGGCCTTCTTTTGACAAGGGCGTCCTGGGAAGGAGCGAGGGCAGGTGCCCAGATGCTCTCAGAGTAAGGAGTGAGCAAAGCCTCACTTCCTGTGTTGTTGGAGGCACAGACCCAGTATCCTCAGCACTTGACTCCTCTGAAAGAACGATCCCACATGGAAGCAACCAAGAGGCTGCCGGTGCATTCGCAGATACATAATTCCCAACATATTTCTGAAGGTAATTTACATGAGTGAGCCACTAAAAGCCTCCTACTCAATTAACTATACCCCTGGGGAAAAGCTATGCAGGCCCGGATAAGTGTGGGAACAACATAAAGGTGTTCTCTGTGCCAAAAAGGGGATTGGGCTGGATGGAAAATCCCCAAAAAGGACCATCTGGCAGCATAAATTATCCATTTAAAATGGCTGGTGTGAGTTAATGACACCAAAGTCACCATGAACATGTGCAACATCCTTCAGTTGTGTTTTAATGTCCCCTTAGGCCCTGTTTCAATTATGACTTTCTATGCTGAATAGGGCCAAATGTAAATTTATCCACTGCCCCTCCCCCGTACCCCACAAATACCACAAAACTGCACTTTCCTTTAATGAAAAGAGGACAATGGACATTCAGTGTTAGAATGTAACTGTGGGGGGGGGGTGTCTTTAAGAAGAAGAAGAAATCTATCTATCTGTCTGTCTGTCTGTCTGTCTATCTATCATCTACCTACCTACCTAAAGAGGATATAGCTATTAAACTTTAGTTATTTAATGACTGTAAACGATATAGGTACTCAGATGTGAAAATTTATGACCGTTCAAGTCATCATGTGCAGGTAAGAATAGAAATCACTCTGAATAAGAGAGTCATTAGGCTGAGCTATTCAACCACCCCTCACTCCCCCAAAGATGCCGATGTGAGAGCCACAGAACAACCTCATGGCAGTGGAGCTTCCTGAACATCAATGACATACAGACAGCTTTAATCTGCAGAAAATACACGGGTAGGGTCCTCAAGCACAAATGCACTAAACCTACATATTTGAATCTGATTTTCACTGAAGCAGGTAAATTGGCTAGGACTAATTAGCCTTTTCAAAAAGGGTTCAAGGAAGTTCTACATCTTTTAATTTTTTAATAGCACATAAACTTTTCACTGGCACTACCCGGAGGTCGTGCTGACAATGCAGTTAACGGCACCAGGTACTCAGCATTTTCCATTTAGCCTGGCTTTATATCTTAGCCACTTCAGGCAAAAGAACATGAACATAAGTGTGCAGTGAGACCCAGGTAAGACGTGCATAGAAGACCAAGCACACTGTGAGTGCTGAGTGGGTAATAATTAGAAGAAGAAGGCACCCGAGGCTCATCTCACATAGCTGTGCTCCCCACATCCATGTATAATGATCTGTTTATATGTCTGTTTCCTAGCCCTGATTGTGAATTCCTTGAAAGCAGAAGCCATAGCCTCACCATCCATCTTTGAATTCCCAGAACCTGGTATCCGAACTCATAAAGGAAGTTCCCAAGGATGATTGCCGAGGGAGGGAACAAACGAATGAATGAATGAGACAAGGGAGGGAGTCAGGTAGAGCAGGCAGAGAAGGCTCCTATTTTCATAAAGGGAGCAAGATAAAAGGCCCAGTCAGTAAGGCCCAAGGGCTTGATTTGTTTTGTTTCTGTTTAATGATACAGTACATGTGGGGAAGGAAGCTGCATTTCTGTGAATATGAAGACTTACGGAGATGATTAGATTACCATAGTCATCACAATCAGGATACAAAACCATCCTATCACCCTCAGGTCTCCCTTCTGATTTCTTTTACAGTCACTTCATCTGAGGGTGGTCTTTTAAAACAGTATCAGGGAAGAGAGAGGGAATCTAAGATTTGCAAGTGGAGAGGTTAGTTCATGGTTTTTCTCGGTGCTGATTTGCTCTTGGAGACCAACAGGGATGATCAGAGGATATCTCTTTATGAGTACTTCTGTGCTAGGTAGAATTCTTAAATGGGTGACAGATATTACCCCAGTAGTGAAACAGCTTACTGTTAGATGATTTAAAAAAAGGTGGGAGGGTGCGTGGGGCGGGGGTGGGGGTGAAACATGGGCTCAGAAAAGTCAGGTAATTTGCCTGCCATCACACAGCCAGCAGGAGTTGAAGCCTCAACTATACTCTGGCTCATTCCAAAACCCACACTGTATCGTCTTTTAACCATCTGATTTGTTGTTTTGAGGAAGGCATTGGAGATGACTTTCCCCTTGTCCACACGGAGGCCAAACATTGATTACGGTTTCAAACAGCTGCAGCCATCAGAACTATTCCAGAGCCAAGAGGAGACAACCCCAGGAAGTCAGACCCAGCCACCACTGGCTTAGTGTAGCACAGATGGGTTAAAGATCATTGCTCCTTTTAAACAGCAAGACGATCAGGAAGATATCCAGTATTAGGAAAGATATTAGAAAGTACTCTCATTTTTATAAAACTCTAAGTGTAAACTGAACACAAAGACCTCTTTTGGTCTGGTTGAAAAAAAATTGATGGGTTTTTCTTATGATTGCTAAAAGATAATGCCCCACCCCAAAGCTGATAAGTGTACATACAAACACACACACACACACACACACACACACACACACACACACACACACAGAGCATTATCTTAGCTGCTTAGGAGGCTGAGGCTGGAAGATCATGGGAGCTCAGAATTTTGATGCCAGCCTGGGGAGGATAGACACACCTTCTCAATCAACCAACCAGCCAGCCAAACAACCAACCAAACAACACAACAACAACAACAACACAAGGGTGAATGGAAGGCAGTGCTGCAGTAGAGGTGATAATGTGTGGGCAGAGATCACCTGTGATTCTCATCCAGTCTTGCCTGTCAGCTTCATCTCTGCAGTGAATGGCTACCCCTTTATGAATGTGGCAGTCACATGTTTATGTGGACAAAGGCAGCTCTCTAGGGCTTGCTTTCTTCATGGGCATGCATGGTATGGAACCCAGGCCCCCATGTCCTGCTCACCTGGCTCCACTTCATGCCATCCGCTGGATTGACTGCCGCTCCCTGGAGAGCGTCCTTGGCCTGTGTAAAATGGCTCTTCACCAGGACTGTCCATTTCATCCTCCACAGACTTGAGTCGCTTCGTGGAGCTGAAAGAACAAACGAGTGCATATTTAAAAGTGACCCCCCACCTCCTTCTTCTTGGACTCTCTTTCTCAGGCTGAAAGAAGCCAAGGGAGGAAGGAGCTGGGCAGGTGTGTGCAGTTCCAGGATTCGCTTGGGCTCTTGTGCAGTGGGGTGAGTCACTGCATGGGGAATAAAGTTTTGGGTCTGTGTTGTTCCAACTGTCTGGGTTTGATTTTTATGTCCCTCGAATTGCTGCCACTGCCACATCCTGTGCCTTTTTTCCTTTGAGGAACAGTGCTGGCTCCTGCTGGCCTTTACCAGGAAGTGTGGAAGGAAGCCCAGGTTTCCTATCTCCGTGGGCGGTGGTTGGAGGCTGCCCAGTCACAGTGTACCTAGACATGAATTCAGTCCCCGCTGGCCTCCCAGAAAGGATAAAACAATAAATAAAGAGCAGGACTTGAGATCCTTTAAGAAAGGCTCAGATTGCTTTTATTCCCCTATATTTCCCACCTTCTACTTGGATTTGTTCCTTCCAAAATATTTTACTGTAGACTTACGCAGTCCAGGTACTTACTCCCCTAGATGCCAGAGCTACATGATGGGTGGAGAGAGGAAAACTGAGGGTCCCGTGTGTACCTGTGAGACTAACCAATATGGACAAAGGGTAGTGCCATGAGGCCTTTATGCCTTTCCTCTACATAGGGATGATCAAAGGAAACTGGTTTCTAGAGCCGTGTGACTGAGGAGCTTCTAGAATGGCTCTCATTTCCTCTGGGTTCAGGGCTGTGGTGGAAAAAGTATGAAACATTGCCTGTTGTTGTTTGGGTTATCTTCGCTGTCAATGCTTCCAGTACCCTACACAGTGGTAGATTTCCTGTCTAGAGGGAGTGCCTGCCGGGGAGCCTCTTTGTCTGTGCCAAGATATAGAATATTCCATGAGTTTAGCCCAATAAGTAAGTGGGCTAAAGACTTAAAGAGAAACTTCTCTGAAGAGGAAAGAAGGATGGCCAATAGACACATGAAGAAATGCTCAACCTCCCTAACCATAAAAGAGATGCAGATCAAAACAACATTGACCTCACCCCAGTTAGAATGGCTATAATCAAGAACTCTAATAACAACAGATGCTGGAGGGGATGTGGACAGAAGGGAACCTTACTGCATTGTTGGTGGGAGTGTAAACTTGTTCAACCACTTTGGAAAGCAGTATGGAGATTCCTCAAAAGACTCCACATAGAGCTCTCCTATGACCCAGCAATCCCACTTTTGGGCATTTACCTAAATGTTCACAAACAAGACCACACTAAAGCCACCAGCACAACAATGTTTATTGCAGCATTATTTACCATAGGTAAGATATGGAACCAACCCAGATGCCCCTCAGTAGATGAATGGATCAAGAAAATGTGGTATATATACACAATGGAATTCTATGCCTCCATCAGAAAGAATGACATTGCCCCATTTGTTAGCAAATGGAAAGATTTGGAAAAAATTATATTAAGTGAAATAAGCCAGGCCCAAAGAAACTTAGGTCCCATGGTTTCCCTTATTTGCAATAACTAGTATATGTCTGAGTCAAGCAGAAAAGGTCAGATAAGTTGATGTTAGAGAAATGAGCCCTAAGATATGTATTCAATTTTTTTTTCTTTCAGGTGATTGTTTCTAACACATTTATAGGATTATCTCTTTGTTGATTTATATGTCTCTCCCCCATGGTATAACCCCTGCTTTCACTGTATTTGATGTTTGTATAATTTGTGGAGGGGAAGGGAAAAAAACAAATTGTTTAAATACAGGTGGATCCATTACAATAATGAGATGTACAAGTCATTATGTGGAAAAAAGAACTTTACAACTTTGGGTGGGGAGGCGGGGGGAGGCTGGGAAGAGATGGGAAGGAGAGACAAAGGAGAGGCTACAATGCTTGATAAGAAATGCACTCATTATCTTGCCCATGTAATTGTAACCCCTCTGTACAGTATTTTCACAATAAAAAAAGAATATTCCATGAGTTTAATTAATCAAATACTTATTGTATACCTCTTATATGTCAAGTGCTATGATACTGTGATGGGTAAGACGTACTGCATAAACACAGATGGAGGGACCAGAGGAAAAGAGGAATCAGGAAGGAACCATGTCTAGGCCACGGTGGGTCACTTGATGGAGGAAGGTGACAATGATACTCTTGGAGCTTTTCTCAGAGTATTACTAGGGAACTGTCTTTATGTGTCAAAGAGACAGCTGGGTGTGGTGGCTCAAGCCTGTAAGCATAGCTACTAGGGAGGCAGAGATGGTAGATCATGGTTTGAGGCCAGTTGGGGCATAAACATTTGAGAGACTCCATCTCACCAAAGACTTGGCATCGTGGCATGCGCTTGTTACCCTAAGCTTTGAGGAAAACACAATAGTTGGTTCTGGTGGCTTGTACCTGTTATTCTAAAAACAAAGCACAAATAGGAGGCCTGAAGTCCTGATTGACCTAGGCATAAAGCAAGACTCTATATTGAAATTTAAAAAAAAAAAAGCAAAAAGGGACTGGCAGAATGGGTTAATTAATAGAACATTTGCCTACCAAACACAAGACTCTGAGTAATTACTGACTAAGGAGACTAGGACAGAGAAACGAAGTAGAAGGTTGGGTTGTTATTCAGCTGATACACTACTTGGGAAGCTGTGTTGATTTAAAATATGGAAACCCTTCTTTCCATTTGGCAAACTGTCGTTGACTCAAATACTGTTTCCTCCAACCTTGGTATCCTTCCTTGCTCCAAGATACTCCCATCATGCACTACCTAAAGGATTAATATCAGGCCTCAGGATGCTCCTGGGCCAAAAGTAGTGGCTCGCATGGCTGCACTCATGTACACTGGGTACCAGAGGCTGTGAACATCACTCCCAGGAGGAAGGGGTATACCAGCTCTTGGGATGTTGGGATGGCTGAAGTTGAAGAGGGGCATAGAAGAGAGTGGTGTAGGATATAGCAGATGCTGTGGGTCTGGACTTTATCCTAAAAGGCCTGGTAAGCATGTGACATTGGCATTCTATTTTAGAAAAGTGACCCTAGTAAGGGTGTATGTGATGATTTAGGAAGCAAAAGGAAAAGAAGGGGTGTAGTCAGTCTAGAAGTGGCGAGACAGTTAAGTATTTACTTAAGCAATCTGAATAAAAAATGTGCAAGGCCCAATTTAGGTAAGCAATTCTGATTACTGGTGTCGGCATTCCAGTATTCTTAGCTATTAAGTTCTACCCTCATTAAAGCCAGACCACAGGAAATAAAGATAACTGCCCAGGCTAACATAGTACCCAAAGGAAACTTCTTTAATAACTTATTTAATGTCCTTTCTTTGAGTTCCTTTAACCCCAGTGAAAAATAGCCACTAGAAAAACATTGCTGTTCTTAATGTAAAATTGCATCTAATGGAAATCCTTTATAGGAGGGTATATACACATAAAAACTTCCTTCCAATATCTAAAACCAGAAAAATCTGGTCTCTGAATGGATTCTACTGTTTCCTTTTATGAGAAAAGGTAAATGACACACTGTATTGCCTTTTCTTCTTGCCCTGGCAACCAGAAAGATCAGGGCCAAATCTGAGACATAATTCTTGATTAATGCACCTGATATAATGATTTCTCCTATTTTTCCCTATATAGTTTCAGGCTTTTCTTTCTGTATTTAGAATATCTGTAATATTTTATAATTGAAAGCCACTACAAGTCATCTTGGAGGAAGGAAGAATATAAATTGGGAAAAAAAAGTATTTCCTTAGAACTCCACCAAACAACAAGAAAGGAACTTCACGTGGTGATAGGATTGTCAAATCTACAAGGAAAGTAACTCTTTCTTATTACTACATTTTAATCTTTAGTGCTTACCACATAATCTGACTAATAGCAGATGTTCAAACTCTGCTGCACCAGTGTGTGTGTCAAGGATTTATCCAACTATTAGGATTCAATGAGATTCAACCCAGAGGGCCAATGCTATTACCCATCATTCTCCCATTATTCATATTTTTTTCCTGAGGTTTTACTTCCTTGTCATGCTCTGATAAAATGCAGGCATGAAATCCTACAGGTAAAAGGTTCTGTAATTGCCAGCTAAGTTGGGAAGCTGGACTTTCAGAAGTGGACAAAAGGATAAACATCTGCAGGGTAGAAGTGTGGGGGAGGAGGAGAGAGAGGGTCTGGGAGTGAGGATTAGCAAGGCTGGGAAGGGCAGGTGTGGGACTTTCAAGGTAAAGCTCATTGTTTCCCCAATCTTGATGGTGGGTTTCTCTTGATGGAATTCTTTGGAATAAAAAAATGTATCTTATCCTGATTTTTATACTATTCTTTGTATAATTCTAGAGACCTTTTACTCTGAAAATACCCATCAATTTTGTTTATTTCTTAACTTTTAGAAGTAAACTGAACTTTGATTTTGTTTCTTACTCTTGACTTTCTAACACCATGATTTTTATTCTCCCAGAAATATCTGCGGAAAACAGGAAAGTAAGTACCAGTAACAGCTACCCATGCATAAGAGCATAAATATTTCTGAAGGTTATAAAGTGCCTCTTCAACCAAGTTTTCGTGGTGTCCTGAAATGAACATCTACTCAATCACTAGTATCTGCCACTAACTTGACTATAAACCTTCTGTGATTGTCTCTATTTCTAGTGTGCTGAGTACAACATCTTGGCTGCTTATGAGTGTTCCCTGCAGAATTGGAAGCATTAGACACTGTCTTTCAAAGAACTAAGAGTTCAGATGTGGAGGTAGGAAAGCTGCATACCTCAAGATGATAACAGTATTCAAAAAAGCAAGTGCTACATGCCAGGGAAAGGCAGAGGTGTGCATGTTTTTCTTCTGCCATTCCATATTCCATTCTTCTTTACTATCAGTGTCAGCCTCATTCTTAAGCAGAGTACTGGGAAAAGACCATGTTCTGTAAGTTCCAATGAACCCAAGTTCGAATGTGGACAGTACCATTTACCTGGATTTTGACACCAGGCAAGTTATTTAACTTCTCTGAGCTCTGTGTTGTTCTACTGTTTCAATGGCCATTGTCTATAACTGTGTGAAGATGAACCAGATGGGGGTATGGAACATACCCAATATGGTGTCTGCCCAGCCCAATTAATACTGGCACACAATGAGCAAATATTGATTACTTGATAAGCTTTTCTATGTAAATCTGCTATATTTTTGCAAGCACATTTTCAAAGCTTATAATTCCACTGAGCCTATGCATTCAAAGAGTTTTTTTTTTTAAGCCATCCTAGGAAAAGCCTAATGAGAGCAAAACAAACATATTACTGAGTTATTAACTACTGATGATGTTTATAATTAGCTCCTTATCGAGGTTAGTTATTTGCAGAATAGGAGAATGATACTAGCCTTTTAAAATGACATTAATAATCAGCTTTCTATTTGGGGAGTCACAACAAAAGATAATGAGACATCTCTGGAGAAGTGTGCAGAAGGGCAGAGGTGTAGAGCACTGTTTGGGAGGGACGAGGGACAGGTGCTCCATACATAGGAAAAACAAACAGCCTGTAAACTGTTCAATTAATCACTGCCCACAAGTATTTGCAAAGCTTTCTCATGTTGACAGAGTGTAGTTACACACAATGTCTCTTCCATCAGCAAACATTGCAAATCCTCAAAGTAGAGTAACACCCAAATGTGTTCCTAATCTCTTTTTTTGCTATTAAAAATGCACCTTAGATTTGAGACCTTTTCCTCTCTGCGTCATCCTCCTCTCTCCCCCCACCCCGACCCAGGAGCTGATACTAGAGTAAACTAGGGGAACATCTGAACAACACCAAACATGATATGGGAGGTAGAGGTTCTGTTTAGGGATGACTTTTACTGTCTTCACAGCTATAAAAATGGCTAAGTTGATTTTTTTTAAATTAATGATGCTTAAAACACTATGATAAAAGGCAAGGTTAACACGAGTTTCCACCAAACAAAATTTCTATAATCTTGGCATTGTTTTAAATCATAAAACTGTACTTGCTTTAGGGAAAAAGAGACCTTTGACAAACATATTTTTGCAAAGTACACAAACATGAAAGATCGCTCTGCACTACTCTTTCCTTTGTTGTCACAGTCCAGTGGTAAAGCCAATTTGTGAAAGAATACTGTGGGTTTAATGCTTAATCCCTTTTCCCTGGTACAAGTTATCTAAAGACAACAGGATCTTGCTAAGTGCTTCGTTTGGATGGTGGCTTCATGACCTAAGTCACAGGGACCAAGAACTCTGCTTCAAAATTCATTCTTTTTCTTTTTTTTTTGGTCCCTTGTGGGGCTTGAACTCAGTGCCTGGGCACTGTCCAGAAGCTCTTTTGCTCAAAACTAGCACTCTACCACTTTGAGCCACAGTGCCACTTCCTGTTTTTGAATGGTTTATTGGAGATAAGGGTCTCATGGACTTTCCTGCGGGGGCTGGCTTCAAACCACGATCCTCAGATCTCAGTCTCTTGAGTAGCTAGCATTACAAGCATGAGCCACTGGTGCCCAGTCCAAGTTTGTTCTTTTTAGGTCTCCCAAAGAATCAGGGTCTAGCGTCTGGCATGCCCCTGGTATCTTACCACTTCCTCTTTTATAACCACACACTAGGATAACAATCTAACTGACTTACTTGGAGACTTTTGGGAGCTTCACAGGAAAAGAACAGGGACTGAGTTGTATTTCTAGAGGTGGGCAGGGGACGAGGCAGGTATCAGCTGGTCATCCTCCTTTCTCCTCATCAAGCACATCCTTTCTTTTCATCTAACATGGTTCCTTCATCGCTATCCCTCTTTACCAACCCATCCCACCATGCCTTTTCCTCCCCATCCCCCCAATCCTAACCATCATTCAGAGCCCAACACAAGTAATTCCTTTTGGAAAAATTCTTTTGAGACCTTTTTATTAAGCCTATGATCTACGGGGTAGTTCACTGTTTTTAAGTGTTTACTGTGTATATGTGTGTATGGGTGTGTATACATACACTTCTTTTTAATTCTGCTTGTTGGGCAAACCACTTATTTGATTATCTTCTCTTATGACAGGCTCATTGGTAAATGTCTAGCAGGGCCAGAGTTAAAAATCAAATTACCTTGTAGAGGATGTGCTGGGTAAAGACCTCCTCATTGCTCCTGGACTCATGCTGTAGTATGAAGAACTTTCCAAATCTGAGAGAGAAAAATTAGGGCCAGTTCCTGCAGCTATTGGTGCTGGAATGAAAAACACAGAAATGGAAGCAACATCAGTTAAGTTCTGTAAATGGGTCAATGAGAGTCTATTTCAGTGTTACATTTAGCACCTTTCCTTTTTGTATTTATCTAGGAAGCCTATCCAAAATAACCAGTAGTCAATTGTGACTTCAAAGGAATGCTCGAAATAAAAAGTCTACAATTTTTTCTAACATACTTCTCATCTTTTTTTTTTTGCAATAGTAAACTGTTGTAAACTTGTTGACAGTTTACAACATTCCTTGATGCTTTACACAAAAATACCTCTCCATGTATTGGTCTTCACTTTTCCTTCCATTTTTTTCCCTTCCTTTCCCCCTTTTCTTCCCTTGTTTTACTTCCCTTTCCCCTTCTCCCTTGTTTTCTCCCTCCTTCCCTTCCCTTTCCTTCCTTCCTTCCTTCCTTCCTTCCTTCCTTCCTTCCTTCCTTCCTTCCTTCCTTCCTTCTACTATTGTTGTTGTTATTAATGGTATTGGGGTTTGAGCTGGGGGCTATTTGCTAGGCAAGTGCTCTACCACTTGAGTTATACCACCAAACTTTTTTGCTTTAGTTATTTTTTGGAAAGAGCTTGCACTTTTGCCTGAGGACAGCCCTTAACTGAGATCTTCCTATCTATACCACACATGTGACTAGAATGAAAGATGTTTCCCAACATATCTAGATTGTTTGTTGAGATAGAGGTCTTGGTAAGTTTTTGCCTAGACTGGCCTTGAACTTCAGATCTTCTGATGCCACTTCCCAAGTATTTCACTTTTCTTTAATAACCAGCCCAAATCTCCCTTGGGCTTTTCTGACTCTATCTGACAGCATCTTCTCTGTATTTTGCAATTCTGTTCGGCTTTTGTGAGAAAAAAAGCAAACTTTGTAATCCACTCAGTCTCTGCTACCTGCAACGTGATGGGTGCTTTCTCTTCACTCTAAATCCCCACAGCACTCTTGACATTCAGGTATTTCCCACCTTGGGAATTATAGCCCCAAACCATAATTTTTGGGCGGGTGGGTGTACCAGCTTTGGGGACCTAGATGCTGCCCCTAAACTTTTTTTGCTAAAACCTGCTGCTTTACCACTTGAGCCGCAGCTCCACTTGCAGCTTTTTTTGGTAGTTAATTGGAGGTAAGAGTCTAATATACTTTCCTGCCTGGGTTAGCTCTGAACCATAATCTCAGATCTCAGCCTCCTGAGTAGTTAGGATTACTGGTATGAACACTGATGGCAGACTCAAATCATAGTTTTTTTTGTTGTTGTTTGTTTAAATAAATGAAGGCTCACTGGATCACTGGTCACATACCTTCATTTCATATTCTCTATGGCTGCTGTCCATTATACCATCAGAGCAGCTCTAAAGGCCATGTGCTCCACAAAGCTGAAAATATTTATCTGATGCTTTATAGGAGAACTTGCCAACCTCTGATTTGACATGGTAATATGTTATTTTCAGAGCTGATCCTCTCTCAGATGTGATTCTTTATATTATTTATGTCCTTAGATGTCCATATTAAATCCTTATAGATGCCTTATCAATGGTAGTTTAACAAGTATTTTAAAATAAATAACACTTGTCAATCATATTTTAAAACTGCATAGAAGTAAGTGTTGAGACTACATTAGTGCAAGTAATCTGTGTTTTGAGAGATTATGCAACAGGAGGAACAATAGATGTATATATAGTATACTGTAAAGCAAGCTATGCTCATACAACTTCATATATAAACAAATACAATACAAATAAATTGTTGTTAATAACCACCAGAAGGAAGGACAGTTGGGAACCTCAAACACCAGGGATTTTCATTCAAGAATGATTACTGGGAGCCTGGTATGCCCAAGAACTTGTGCTGGGGAGGGAGACATTTAGATGAAAGTCAAAGAACCAGCCCCTCCAGCTCTAGAGCCGGAGCCTGACAGCCAGAAAGTCAGTCTACAAGTCTTCTACAGAGCTCTTTCTAAACAGACATGGCACCCAGAGTGACTTTCTAGACCAGCTTGGGAATAAGAGGTTCAAGAGGTATCAAGGGCACCTTGAACTGTGATGTCCACTCAGGAAGATGGAAGGTCAGGAAGGTATACATAACTGAGAGGAAAGGAGGGCTTCTAGGTAGAAGCAGCAGCATACAAATAGTTAGAAAACTTCTGACAGCCTGATAAAATATAGTGTCTAAGTCAGATCATGAAGGATCTGGTAGATTCCCTATAAGGGGTATGGATTTGAAACTAGCATATCCCAATTTTCTGTGTTATTAAAGCACTTATACTCCACTGGGATTATATTGCCAACCTTTGATATAATCCCCAACAATGGGAGGCCATCAGAAGGCAGTGGTCAAATGCAATTGGTTGCCACATTGAGCTTTATTCACTAGCCAAGGGAGAGTTAGTAACCTATGGGAATGCCATTACAGACTTGCATCTATAAGGCAGAAGAACATTGAGTCATGAGGGCAGGCCTGGGACACAGAGGGATGATTGAAGAACAGAATCAAAAGACCAGATGCCGGTGTAGTTTATTGAACAGGGTGAGCTACAGAAGGGGTCTAAATGCGAAGGATAGAAAGGAAGAGCCAGAGGTAAGTCATTTAGAAGTTAAAGTCAAGTAAATGTGTTAACTGGTGACTGGCAATAATGGGACTACTCCCAGAACAGTTGGTAGGGAAACTACATGAACTGTGGTGTCATAAGGAACTATGGAAACAGAGGCTATGAAGGAATACAGCAATCTCTAAGACTAAATGCTGAGTTGTCTGATTAAGAGCAATGACTTAGCCTTAATAATAACTATCATTACATAAACAGTCATTGCCAAGTGGAAAACACTGAAATTCACATATAATTATTGTGTCAATGTGGGGCTTGAACTCAGGGCCTTTGGTTCTTAGCAACACATAGTTTTTGAAATCAAATTTGTCTCTCAATGCCAGGCTGTTTTTGAAATCAAACCTGTCTCGAAGTGAGAATGGAGGCAGGGCCTTTAGTTCAAAATCAAATGATTAGGCTTAACAGTAAGAGTATAAAGAATTCTACTTAAGGATGTTGCTAGTCATACCTTGCTTTTTTATATTAAATTTGCTTGCATAATTTCCTCTTCTATTTCATGGTATTTTATGTATGAAATAGGCCATGGTGAGTGGGTGTGTGTTTGCAAGGCGTGGATTGCTCAAATACAATCCAGGTCAGTGTTCATCATCTTAGCAGTCTGTCATATAACAGTTATTTATTAGTACTGTAGGCCTCTGGGAATAGAGAGTCATGTATTTTGGCAGCTTACTAATAACTGTCATTGTGTAAAAAACAGTCACTGCTAAGAAGTGAAAACTTTGAAGTTCACATTAAGTTTTTGAAAATCAAACCCATCCCTCAGTGACAGGCTTGAGTGGTAAAGTTCTAAGTTGAGGTTCTTTCTTTCTTTCTTTCTTTCTTTCTTTCTTTCTTTCTTTCTTTCTTTCTTTCTTTCTTTCTTTCTCTTCTTTCCTTTCTAGCTTGCTTTCTCTCTTCCTCCTCTTTAACTCTTTCTCCTCTTCCTCTCCCTCCTTCCCTCCCTTCCCCTCCCTCCCTTCCTTCCTTTTTCTCTCTCTTCTCTTTCTCTCTCTTTCCCTCCTTCTTCCTCCCTCCCTTCATCTTTTCTTTCTTCCTTCCTTCCTTCCTTGCTTCCTTTCTTCCTTCCTTTCTTTCTTTCTTTCCTTCCTTCCTTCTCTCTCTCTTTTTTTCTTGTACTAGGGCTCTCACTTGGGCTTTTAAAATGAAGGCTGGTGCTCTACCACTCCATCTGTACCTCCACTTCCACGTTTTTGCAGTTTAATTAGAGAAAAGAATATTTTGGATTTGTCTGCCTGGGATGGCTTTGAACCAGGATTGTCAGATCTCAGACTCTCGATTAGCTAGAATTACAGGTATGAACCACCAGCACTTGACCTACATGTAGATTTTTTTTCACCAGTCTCAGAGTGGAGCAGGGCCTCAGCTGCCTCATTACCGAGCATGGGGAAATTAAGGCAGGTCCTCCATACTAAGCGCTTGGAAAGTGAAAGACAGAGCAAGAGAGAGAAGCCAGCACTAAGGAGAGCTCTGAGGCCTACGCAGAGAAAAGAAAAAGACATATGGTATATCTGTACCAAGAAGGTTGAAAGTCTAAGCAGAACATCAGAGTAATACCTGCAGTTCTAATGTGATGCTGAATGTGCTAAGTCCCACAGGGGGATGTGCAAAGGATTTGTTGGGAAAGTTCGGAGGAGTTGAAGATCCCACTGGCTTGTAAGATCAAAGCAAACTGACTGATATGGGAAGAGCAGGTACTAACACTGCATCTTGGAGGATGCCAGGTTTAAAGAGGCAGAGGAGCTAAGACAGCACTTGCCTATGTTTAGGAAGTAGGGTGAGTGATGTATGTGTATGTGGGGGGGGGGATCCAAGGCAGGTTGCAAATGTGACAATTTGTGATAATGGTTGAATCTGAGGCACATTCACCTGAAAGCCAATGGAATGGGAGATCTTTGCCAGCTATATGTCAGACAGGGACCTAATATCCAGAATATATAGAGAGTTTAAGAGACTTAATCCTCAAAGAACCAACAACCCAATTAATAAATGGGCAAGGCAAATGAGCTTCATAGACTTCTAAGAAGAGGAAGTAAAAATGTCCAAGATACATGAAGGAAGTGCAAATAAAAACAACACTGAGTTTCCAGCTCATCCCAATTAGACTGGCCAGCATTCAGAATACAAACAACAGGTGCTGGCGTGGAGGTGGGGGAAAAGGAAACCTAATACACTGTTGGTGGGAATGTAAACTGGTTTAACTACTCTGAAGATTACTCAAAATATAAGACACAGAACTACCCTATGATCCAAAAGTACCATTCTTGGGCATTTACCCAAAAGATTACAAATCAAGACACAATAGAGCCACATGCACAACCATGTTCATTGCAGCACTGTTAACTACAGGCAAGGTATGGAATCAGCCCAGATGCCCCTCAATGAATGAATG